AGCAGGCAGCCCGATGTGGGATTTGATCCCAGGACCCTGAGATCATGACCTGAGCCAAAGGCAGACGCTTAACCGACTGAGCCACCCAGGCGTCCCTCACCAGCCTCTGTTTTGACGCCTCGATTGAGAACTTGGAGTAACCAAAACTGTCACAAAAGGAAGGACCAAGCCACAAATTCAGTGATGAGCTAATTTTTCTTACTTTTCACTCATTTATTCAGTTGGTATGATTTGGGTAAATTACCCATTTTTCCCCCCTATTCTTCAACCTGCCAAATGGAAGAGTGAAAGAGAGTATGAGAGCACCAGAGAAAAAACTAGCGGGCTCTGTAGGATGTACAAGTTGAAATGCAGGGTAAGTCTTCCATAAGTGGTTTTTGAACCACCTGGGTCTGCCCCCCAGGATTCTTTTATGAGATTTTAGGTACATTACATATACTAGCTTAATGGATGTAATTCTGCTGCCAATTATTTTAGGGGCCATTATTTTTGCTTATTACATACTGGCCAATTAGGTCTGATTCATCACCACTATGTATTTCCCTCTCTTTTTGCTACTGATAAATAAGTTGCTTATTTTATCCAAACTTCCACCCTCATGGGATTTTTGCCCATCAAGCAGAATTTCCTCTTCTAAAATAATAGCACTATCATAATTGTTTTTGTCGTTAACAATATCAGCACAGAATTTTTCTCTGGAGGAAATATTAAAGCACCAGAGGGATGGATAAGCAATCTGTATGTGGTACTTGGAGATAAATACTCCCTAGGGCAGGAGAATCAATAAAAGATGTTTCGAGATTGTTTCAATTACTAGGGCGCCATATGCAATCATGTCTTACTCTTCTCCAGGCTTAGGTCTGCAGAGTCAGGGTCAGCCTCTGTGATCTGGTTTCTTTAAAGGAGCAGAGTCTCAGGAAAAAAATGAGCAGGTAATCAAGAGTGTTTAGACTTTTGCAGAGTTGCCCCAGGTGGATCTTCAAATGCCACAGAAGGCCCAGGAACGCTGACTAAATAGTTCTTAGTTGGAATAGTCTTGGAGAAGCTCTGCACCCAACATGCACACACTTCTGGTTTCATTTAAAGCCATTGATGTAATGAGGGTTATTATTCTTAGCTGACGTAGCGTGGATATTAGGCAATCAGACCCTGAAGGTGGATATGTATGAGGGGCTGGAGAGACCAGCTGTTTGTGGGGGTAGGAAAGCTAAAAGAAGGAAATATTTCATTTTTGGAAAGATGATATTTAGAATTTAATTGAAAGGCTAATAAAAAAATAAAAAAGAAATGGCTAGTAGCAGTTATGGGCCTGAGATTTACCTCACTTATACATGGACAGGCTCAAATAAATATGATGTCTCTTTGTCAGTCCACGATACATCTGAACCCCAAGGAAATGATCTGCTTCTGGACGGGAGAATGTATTTTAGGAAAAAAAATATCTAATATATGATAAACGTATAAATAAAAATATTTTATATTTATGTATTTAAGAAGGAATCACTCCATATGGGATCCTTTTGAGTTTGTGGCCTCTGAAGACCAAGTACCCATATACATATAGATGAAGTCGGGGGTAGGAGACAGTTGGGGGCCTGGGAATTGGTAAAAAGGGTTTTGTTTCTTTTTAGCTTTTGATGAAATTTCATTTTTAAAATGCCTTAAGTCTCTAAGGGGAGTCCTAGAATTTGGCTAACTTCCATAGAATGAGTCTACAGCAGAATCAAGGTAATATTGGCATTAGCTTTTTGGATAGTTGCTTCTTTTCCTTGTTTTTCCAGGAGAGAAGAATAAAAAAGAAGAAAGTAAAGTTATAAAGATGAGATTCTAGGGGTGCCTGGGTGGCTCAGTCGGTTAAGCGTCTGACTCTTGGTTTCGGCTCAGGTCATGATCTCAGGGTCGTTAGATCGAGCCCCCACGTCAGGCCCCACACTCAGTGGGGAGTCTGCTTGAGATTCTCTCTCTCCCTCTGCCCTTCCCCCTGCTGGCTCACTTGCTCTCTCTTTCTCTCTCTCTTTCTCTAAAGTAAATAAATAAAATCTTTTTAAAAACTTGATATTCTAGACCGACTTGAGTTCTTATCTTAGAGGCAGACACCAGTGGAAAGAACGCAGGCTTTGCAGTCCAAAGGACCTACAGTCTAACTCCAGATGAGCCCTTAACATCGCTATGGACTTGAACATGCTAATCAAACCCTTTGGGTCTTGGTCTCCTCATCCGCAAAAGGGGATTAATAATATCTACTTATAGGGGTGCCTGGCTGGCTCAGTAGGTAGAGCATGCAACTCTTGATCTTAGGGTTATGCGTTAGAGCCCCATGTTGGGTGTAGAGATTCCTTCAAAAAAAATCTACTTAGGGGCACCTGGGTGGCTTCGTTGGTTAAGCGGCTGACTCTTGATTTCAGCTCAGGTCACGATCTCAGGGTCCTGGGATCGAGCCCCAAGTCAGGTTCCATGCTCAGCAGGGAGTCTGCTTGAAGATTCTCTCTCTCCCTCTCCTTCTGTCCCTCTTCCCACTTGTGCTCTCACACTCTCTCTGAAATAAACAACTCTTTAAAAAAAAATAAAAAATAAAAAAAAAAATCTACTTCTATGAGTCGATGGACAGAAAGTTTTAGGTATGCAGCAGGCAGGCAATAAGAAGGTAGCTTTATTTATTCTCTGGAACTCTCCTCCTCTCCCCTCTGCTCTCATCCCCTTCCAGAGGACAGGCCCTTCCTCTGCAGGCTGCTCTTTGTCTCTGCTCACCTGTGGTGTCCCGGCAGTCACAGCAGTCCTGGGCGTTGGCGGGATTGGACATGTTACAGCAGGGTAGGCAACGGTTGTCATCCATAAGCAGCACCAGGCTGGCGGGGCACATGGTACAGTTCTTGGTGCCAGGTCCCTTGCATTCCACACAGCTCTTGTGGCATTTTTCACAGTTAAACTTCTCGCCCTGGTGAGAACAATCGGGAGATTTTCTTTGAGTGTGGAGGGATTAACAAGCCACCAGAGTTCCCAGGTGGGAGTTCCATGAGGGAGGGAGGCATGTCCGGGGGACAGAAGAAAGAGAACTTGTTCTGGGTCATTTTAACTGTTCAGGGTGAAAGAACCAACTGTTGTCTGCACTTGGAGGAAACCATTGCTGGGTCTCTCCATCTGAGATTTGCTGGTAACAATAGTGGGAGAACAGGCTTCTAGAATGGCTCAAGTTACCAACTGACAGCTAATGTGCTGTACCTGGTCAGGGATAGGTTGTGTCTGGCTCATTACTAAAATTGACCTTCACACTTTAAAAAATTTTCAATTCTTTTGCCCACATTTCAAAATTGGGATATTTCACTTGTCAATCAGTTCCTAGTTTCTCTTTAAAAACTAGACTGTCAACATGGTCATCACTCCCACATGGCAACATCCCAGACAGCTGAGGGACAGTGACCCTCTTTTTGTGCTCTCCTAGTTGATAGAATCCCCAGCACTTGCTCCAATGTCACCAACATAGGTGACACATCAAATTCCACTTTTCATCAAGTCTGCGCTGGGGTTTTCATTGACCCAACACCCTTCACTCAGGTACACTAATCAGCCTGGCCTCCGTGGTTGTTAGATGCTTGTGGCCCTGCCCCATTATAATATTTGTGACTGTTTAGCTAAAACAGTGAAATAAGAGATAAGGAGAAAGGGGCTTCCCTCCTGACGAGTTGCTGCTTCGATGGTGCTGGAAATGTAGATGAGGGGAGATGTCTTCCTCTGTTCTGTGTTTTGGAAGGATGGTAGAAAAATTAAGCAATGGAAATTGCCTTTATTGAGCACTTGGGCATGTTTCAGGTGCTGATAAGGTGCTTTCTCAGCTGTTACTATCTTATCAAATCCTGGGTTAGCTGTCAGGATCCCTGGTTTCAATCCCAGCTTTGTTACTTACTACTCATGTGATCTTTAGCAAATTATCTAATCTCTCTGAAACTGAGGAGTTTTTCCAAGGTATAAGGATGTGAAGAGAGCTCCTATGTGAATATGTTGGGTCATGTTAATTTCACCATGGAGAGATTTACTTAATTTCTACAGTTTGGAAACACAAGAAGTTAGTGAACTTAATATCCATGGTTTCTAGGCAAGGAAATGAAATATATCTCTCCTAATACACTGGGCAGGGGTGGAGGAAATGAAAGACCAACAGCAGTTATGTAGTTTTGACATTATTCAGGCATTTCAGGGTAGACAGCAGAGGGGTAGGAGAGAAGATATTTCTTCTTTCTTTCTTTCTTTTAAGATTTATTTATTTATTTGAGAGAGAGGGATTGAGTGGGGGAAGGAAAGAGGGAGAAGCAGAGAGAATCTCAAGCAGACTCCACGCTGAGTGTAGAACCCGACCTGGGGCTCGATCCCAGGACCCTGAGATCATGACCCTGAGCCAAAATCAAGAGTCCGATGCTTAACCGACTGAGCCTCTCAGGCACCCCAATGTTTCTTATTTCTGATATAATATTCTTAAGTGGACCTGAAACTTCTAAGGTCATGAGCAATGAATGTAGAGGTAAATCTGAGGTCCTCATTATCTAATTTCCCCATTATTTATCTCAGGTCATCTCAGTTCCTTTGGCTGAGATTAAGGCTACAGATGGGTAGTGCCATTCTTCTGTGATGCAGTGGTAGACGATTATAAAACTCGAGCAAGTGTAGGAATTTTAGGACTTCTTGACTTTGCCCAGAATGACCTGCGGGAGCGAACTCCCACGGCTCTGCAGAAATGGGGGAGGGTAGAGCGTGCCCAGCTCTCAGTACCTCTCCCACTCTGTATTCCCCTGCCAGACAGTCCGAGGTGCAGATTCCTCCCATTAGGTGGTAACTCCACACACAGGATAAGCAATTCAATGCTCCTTTTCCTGAAAGAAAGAAAAAAAAAAGTGATTCTAAATTATGAGGGCTGACCTTAGATTTCAACCTCTGTCTTGGGTCCACAACTCTTAAGGAGCAAGGAACATGTCAAGCAAATTGAAGTGGAAGGATGAATTGATTGAGGAGATGGGGGAAAAAATGTCTACAAGACACCAAGTGCAGACCTAGAAATTATCCACTTAGTCCAATCAAAGTAAACTCTCATTTGGAAATTGAGGGTTTGGAAATGATAGATCTTTTATGACAGCAAAAAGAAAGGTTTTCAGAGAATGAGAAATCATGTAGAAAGGTTATAAAACTTTTGTCATTCTGCTTGTTGTTTAACTAATATGGAGGAGGAGAATGATACCAGATGATTTGGAGGATCCTGATACTCAGTTGGTGAGGAAATCATGTTTAGGCAGATTCTAAGAAATACTAGACTTAGAATTTAAAATGCCATGGTTAAAAGAATTTAGCAAATCATTTTGTCCAGTTGTTCTTAATTTGGGAAGGGTGGTGGTGGTGGTGATAGATTCCTTTGAAATTCTCTTGAAAGCTAAAAACTTTCTTTTCAAAAATTTGACATGCTATTTATTTATTATTTTTATTCTTTATTTACTTTTTTTTTTTTTTTTTTTTTTTTTTACAGCAGGAGAGAGGTGGGGAGGGGCAGAGGGAGAGGGAGAGAAAGAACCCCAAGCAGAATCCACACTCAGCATGGAGCCCCACGCAGGGCTGGATCTCACCACCCCGAGATTGCGACCTGAGCTGACATCAAGAGTCAGATGCTTACCCGACTGAGCCACTCAGGTTCCCTTATTTATTATTTTTTAAATAAATGAAAAGTAAGGCCCAGATATGTCAAGTCATTCATTCAAGGTTACATAGGTAATGGTCAAGATTCAAATTCAGTTTTGTTGACCACACGGTCCAATGCTCTTTCGGTCATACTATCTACCTTACCACCTCTGACCCACCAAGGAGAGGAGGTCTGAATCTATAGGCTCTGTTTCTGTGGAGGTAATACCCCACTCTCCTAATTCAGAGACCCCAAGAATGACTGACCCAAGTGTTACCTCAGTCAATACCAGATATTAAGGTATAACTTCTGGAAAGGGTTTGGAGACAGGAGACCTGAATTCTCATTCATTCCATTAGGAAGGTCCTGGTGTTTCTGCTGAGAATTTCAAAACAAGAGCAAGGAGATAGATGGCGGAGGGGGGGCATGGAATGTGCCTAGTATTGTGAGTCAGAACTTGATACAGGTCTAACCATCAGAAGAATACCGTACAGAGTGGTTAGTTGAATTTGAAGTAGATCCATGAGTCCTGTCCTTCACAATCACTATGGAGTTAAATCAACTTTTCATGTCTGATCTGTGAGCTCAATCATTTATATTTATTTATTGATTTATTTATTTCTGAGCTCAATCATTTATGATGTTTCTATGGAAATAAAATTCTGAGCTCTGAACAACAGTTTAGAGAATAAACCTTTATTACCTAAATGTTTCTTAGATTGGGGGCTGCCTGTAGTGATATAAATTCAAAGCCATTTTATTATTTTTAAGTTTCCAACTGAAGTGTAGTTGACATAAAATATTATATTAGTTTCAGTTGTACAACAGTGACTCAACAATTATGTACATTATAAAGTGCCCACCACGCTAAGTATTGTCACCATCTGCCCACCATACAAAATTATTACAATATTATTGACTATATTCCCTATGCTGTACTTTCCATCTTGGTGACTTACTTATTTTATAACTGGAAGTTTGTACCTCCTAATCCCCTTCATAATTGTACTCATCGTCCTACCCCCTGCCCTCTGGTAACTGCCAGTTTGATCTCTGTAGTTATAAATTTACTTGTTTGTTCATTTATCTTTTTTTTGGATTCCACATAAAAGTGAAATCATATGGTATTGGTCTTTCCCTGTCTGACTTATTTCACTTAGCATAGTACCCTCTAGGTCCATCCATGTTGTCATGAATGACAAGATTTCATTCTTTTTTTATGGATAAGTAACATTCCATTGTATGAATATACCACATCTTCTTTGGCCATTCATCTGTCAATGGACACATGGGCTGCTTCCATAATTTGGCTATTGTAAAGAATGCTGCTATAAATTTAGGAGGCGTAAATATTTTCACATTAGTGTTTTCATTTTTCTTTGAATAAATACACAGATGTGGAATTAATGGATAATATGGTATTTCAATTTTTAATTTTTTGACGAATCTCTAGACTGTTTTCCATAGTGGCTGTACCAATTTACATTCCTACCAATAGTGCACAAGGGTTCCCTTTTCTCTACATCCTCACCAATACCTGCCATTTCTCTTTTCTTTTTTCTTTTTTTTAAGATTTTATTTATTTATTTGACAGAGAGAGAGAGACAGCGAGAGAGGGAACACAAGCAGGGGGAGTGGGAGAGGGAGAAGCAGGCTTCCTGTGGTGCAGGGAGCCCGATGTGGGGCCCGATCCCAGGACCCTGGGATTATGACCAGAGCCGAAGGCAGACGCCCAATGACTGAGCCACCCAGGTGCCCCCCTGCCATTTCTTGTCTCTTTGGTACTAGTCATTCTGACCAGTCTAAGGTAGATATCTCATTGTGGTTTTGATTTGCATTTCCCTGATGAGTAATAATGTTGAATATCTTTTCATGTGACTGTAGGCCATCCGCATGTCTTTGGAAAAATGTCTATTCCAGACCTCTGCCCATTTTGCAATCAGATTGTTTTTTTGTTAAGTTGTATGAGTTCTTTATATATTTATTTTGGGTATTAACCCCTTATTGGATATATCATTTGCAACTATCTTCTATTCAGTAGGTTGTCCTTTTGTTCTATTGATAGTTTCCTTTGCTGTGCAAAAGCTTTGTAGTTTGATGTAGTTCCAATTATTTATTTTTTGCTTTTGTTCCTCTTGCGTGAGAAGACAGATCCAGAAAAATATTGCTAATAAATTTTGCTGATACATATTGTGATGTTCAAGAGTTTACTGCCTGTGTTTTCTTTTAGGAGTTTTATGGTTTCAGGTCTTACATTTAAGCCTTTAATCCATTTCGAGTTTATTTTTGTGTATGGTGTAAGAAAGTGGTCCAGTTTCATTCTTTGGCATGTGGCTGTCCAGTTTTCCCAACACCATTTATTGAAGACACTATCTCTTCCCCATTGAATATTCTTGCCTCCTTTGTTATAGATTAATTAGCTATGTAAGCATGGGTTTATTTCTAGGGTCTCTATTTTGTTCCGTTGATCTGTGTGTCTATTTTTGTGCAATTACCATACCATTTTGATTACCATAGATTTATAGTATAGTTTGAAATCTGAGAAAGGCATCCTATTTTTATCTTACCTCTAGCTTCATACAGAATCTCTTACATGTTCTGGAACATAACTCTGGTCTCTGATGAAAGAATCTTCCCCTCCTTCTTTTCTTCCTTTCTTCCTTTTCCCAACCTACATTTTTCTAAAACATAGCTTAGATGTCTTACTCCAACTAAAGTTCTTTTTTTAATGAAGAGAAATGAAGGGTAGGAAAAATTAAAAGAGAAAAATGTAGTAGGAAGATTAGGTCACAACATATGTGCGTTAAGATTGTTTCTATTTTCTAGAAGGCCAGCAGCAATTTGGCAGAAGCTCATATCATGGGTGATCCCCAAAGGCACTGCCCGTCACAAGTTACATCTCCTATATTGATTTATTGCAAAATCTGTACGCCCTGGGTACACAGTCTTTTGCCAAAGGCAGTTTGTTAATTTCCAGATTGTTTTCTATTGTTTCCAAGTTTAACAACCTACATTTATCATTGCTTCTAAGGATCTGCAGGAACCGTGGGACCTATAAAGATGGCTTTGATATTTCTTTAGAATTCAGAACTCACTATTGGCTTTCCCTTGTACTGACCCCCACAGGATGAGTTCAGCAATGCAAAGCAAACCCCAGGGACATCCATGTTGTCATTCCACACAGGAAGAGGAAGCTGGAAAGACTTAGGCGGTTTTGGCTACCAGCCTGGATTTTTATTTCAAACAATTTTGTGAGGATGATAAATAAAAAGTTAATTGTGTAAAGGTAAGGAATGAGCGAATTATGGAGGAACCAACTGCATACAAAGGTAATATTAGGCCTTGGTGTGCCATCTCTGCCCTACCGTCACCCTGTCCAGTGCTTTGGTGTATTTTTTTACTACTCTGATGCCATTGGGCAGTCAAATGTGAATGAAATAAAATCTAGTTGGTAAATTGCTTATTTAGGTCGCTAAATTTTCCCTGTAATTTTTGTGCTTCTTCATTTCTTAGTATGCCAGCTAATGTTTTAGGAAGGGACCTCGGAATTCACCCTTTTTTCCACCCAGTTTATAACCTAGGAGAAAACCTGCACCCGAGTTTTATGATCTAGATATTGCAAAACTGGAAGGCAACACAAAGATTCACTACACCGGACAGGACGTGTATGGCTTGGTGAAGGAAGGATGGCAGACGTGATGAGCCCCACACGTGGAAAACTTCCACCAGGCACATCTAGGGTTCAGGTCAAATACAGGAGGAGGCACAAGCCTCAGAATGGCTGCAAGATGCACCCAGCTTGGACCAGACACCCTCTGAGTACCTTCTCAGGGAGGATGTGTTGATGTACTTTTTTTTGTAAGACTATTTTTTTTTTTTAGAGGAGTTTTAGGTTTACAACAAAATAGAGGGGAAGGTACAGAGATTTCCCATGGACTCTGCCCCCACACATGCATAGGGTCCCCCATTATCAACATCAATCACCAGAATAGTACTTTTTTTTTTTTTTTTAACCAAAGATAAACCTATATAGACATATCGTTTTCACCCAAAGTCTCTAGTTTACCTTAGGGTTCTCTCTTGCTGTTGTACATTCTATGGGTATGGACCAATATATAATAATACATAGCTGTCATCATAATATCATACAGAATATTTTCACTGCCCTAAAATCCTCTGTGCTCCATCTATTCATCTCTACCTGCC